CACAGTGAGAGCTTCTCCAAGCAACTTGAAAGCGAGCTCGAGGCCCTGAAGGTAGAGCCAGCCCCTGGGCCCCGCCCCCACCAGCAGCTGTGACCCTCCCTGCTGACTGGGGACTCGTCCTAGGAGCGGGCTGTCGGCCGGAGGGCCATCCAGCAGGCCCGGCCTTCGGAGCCCGTCACTAGCACCTGTGCCTCTGGACACCTGGGCTTCTAAACTCCTGGGCCCACTTCTGGAAAAGCCTCTTGAAGCCGGTGTCCTGCCACTGACAGCGGAGACAGGCTGGTCGTCCGTGGCCAGAGGCGGCGAGGGGACAGGAGAAAGGCCTGGGGTGGGACAGGGCGGTGGGAGGCTGGGCTCCTGGCTGACCTCCTGTGACCCCAGGGCCTCCACCTGCCTCGCCGTGGGCTCCTTGTCTGTGAATGGAGACGCTGAGGCTTCTCTCTCCCTCGCACCCCCTCCCAGCCCCTGGCGAATCCGCCACCTCTCCCCTGGGTGTCTGTGTCCCCCTCATCTGCGCTGCCACCTGCCTGGCCAGTGCGTCGAACCGCACTCCTCCCTCCTCCCAGTCTCGGTCACATCACCTGGTGACTGTCATTGTCCCTCTGCTGCACGAGAGCAGAGATGTCACGTGGCCGTAGCCACAGGGGCCTGACACTCGGTCCCCGGAGTGCTGAGCGGGAGTGCTGGGCAGAGAGGGACCTGGAGCCATCCACGTTGCAGGTGGCACAGTGTGACACGGCCCCGGGTCCGACAGGTCTGGGCACGTCCCTCCTGCAGGCAGATACTGTCACCCCCAAAGCCACCCTTCTAAGGCTACGTAACCGGGCTCAGCTGTCACAGGACCGTGCCTGCCGGTCGGGGCACAGGCAGCAGCGTGCCAAGGGCCTGCACGTGGGAGGGGATGCAGCGTGACCCCGAGGGAGGGCAGGGGTGTGTGTGACTTACCTGAACCTTCCTCTCCAGGGAAAGCAAGGGGGCCGGGGACCAGGGGCCTCCTTAGAGCATCAGCAAGAGATTTCCAAAATCAAGTCTGAGCTGGAGAAGAAGGTCTTGTTCTACGAAGAGGAGCTGGTCAGACGCGAGGCCTCCCACGTGCTGGAGGTAAAAACTGTGCGGAAGGAGGTGCATGACTCCGAGAGCCACCAGCTGGCCCTGCAGAAGGAGATCCTAATGTTAAAAGACAAATTGGAGAAGTCCAAGCGAGAACGGTGAGTTCCCCGTCTCCTCCGTGTGGAAGGCGCAGTCTGGTGCAGCTGGGCCGGGGTGGGCCCAGCGGGCTCTGACCCTGCCCCTCCCGCAGGCTCAGTGAGGTGGAGGAGGCAGTGGGCACCGTCAAAGACAAGTTCGAGCGAGACCGAGCCGTGCTGTCGGAGGAGAACAAGAAGCTGGCCGCCGAGAAGGAGAGGGTAACGGAGGGCTCGGGGCGCCTCGGGGAGACGGGAACCTGCCCCTCGTGGAGGCTGGAAGTTTGCGTTTTAAGTATTTTTATTTTTCAGTGAAGTAATGGTGATCTTTTAAATGGGGTGTTTGTAATTGGCTAAAAGCTGCGGATGATCTGAAATCACTGGCTCTTGGTGCCTTTATGTTCAGATCTGCATTGAAATGTGACCGGAGTTCGATACAATCAAAAGTCCACATCCTGAACTTCATCACCATTAAAGAAAACTTCCAAAATCTTCAAAAGAACTTGTCGTTTGAATAAATCTGATGTCCTACTTGCAGACGCCCAATAACCCCCCGTGTGTGCGATCGTTTACTTTCAGCTTTGCTCCTTCGTGGACAAGCTCACAGCTCAGAACAGGCAACTGGAGGACGAGCTGCAGGACCTGGCAGCCAAGAAGGAGTCGGTAGCCCACTGGGAAGCGCAGATCGCCGAGATCATCCAGTGGTACGTCGGCCTGCCCAGCGGTGTGGCCAGGCCCAGATGTGGCCCAGGCTCAGGCTCAGGCGTGGCCAGGCCCAGGTGTGGCCCAGGCTCAGGTGTGGCCCAGGC